AGCTGAAGTTGAAAAATCAGGAAATAAAGATCAGGTAAGAGCCCGGGTGGGCAAAAACATCAACAGACATAGAACCGGTTCTATGTCTGTTGATGTTTTTGCCCACCCGCCCACTGCTCTTCAGAGCTACAGATTCTACAGAGGTGGACAGAACCGGTAGAAACCCACCCTGTATGAATATAAGGTGCAGGAAGGAATTATGTGCACCTCTATAACTTTAATAAGTAAAGTATTGTTTATAGCAAACCTCCTTCCCAGGCAGAAGGAAATCAACAAGTAGCAGATGACCTGAATATGTTTTACTGCAGGTTTGAAAGGAAACTACAGCCACCTATCTGCACAACCCCCATCTCAAACACACCAACGACAGCCAAGCCTCCTACAACTAACCTCAACCTATAGGGTTCACAACCTTTGGTGATCACTGAAAAAGAAGTGCAAGATCTATTAGACAGACAAAAGCCAGGAAAAGCACCAGGGCCAGACAAGATAACTCCTTGCTTAAAAGTCTGTGCTGACCAATTGGCCCTCATCTTCACCCAAATCTTCAATAAATCTTTAGAGATGTGCTATGTTCCTTCTTGCTTCAAATGTTTTACTATCATCCCAGTACCAAAGAAGCCCTCCATCAGGGAACTGAATGACCACAGATCAGTTGCTCTAACATTGGTAGTTATGAAAATCTTTGAAAGGTTAGTGCTGTCCCACCTGAAAATCAACACAGATCCACTGTTAGATCCCATGCAGTTTGCATATAGAGCAAATAGATCGATAGATGATGCTGTTAATACGGCTCTGCATTACATCCTACAATACCTTGAATCTCCAAATACCTACGAAATGGTCCTCTTTGTAGACTGCAGTTCTGCATTCAATACCATCATTCCAGACATTCTTCTAACTAAACTAAACCAGCTAGCGGTACCTGAACACACTTGTAAGTGGATCATAAGCTTCCTAACAGAGAGGGAGCAGCAGGTGAAGCTAAACAGAATCACATCTGATACATGTACAATTAGCACAGCCCCACTCCCCAAGGCTGTGTGCTTTCTTCACTTCAATCAATACAGTTATATCAATAACTGTATCTCAGATGATCCATGTGTTAAAATACTGAAGTTTGCAGATGACACAACAGTGATTGGTCTTATTCGAGACAACGATGACAACCAGACAGGAGGTTGTACAACTTGCCTCATGGTGTAACTGGAACAATCTGGAAAGAACACACTCAAAACCATAGAAATGGTGGTAGACTTCAGAAGAAACCCTCCCATACTACAACCTCTTACAATACTAGACAACACAGTATCAACAGTAGAGACCTTCAAATTTCTAGGTTCTATTATATCACATGACCTAAAATGGACACCTAACATCAAAAACTTCAACAAAAAAGCACAACAAAGAAGGTTCTTTCTGCGCCAACTCAGAAAGCTCAAACTGCCCAAGGAGCTGCTGATACAGTTCTACAGAGGAATTATTGGGTCTATCATCTGTACCTCTATGGTTTGGTTCTGCAGCCCAACACGACAGACACAGACTTCAGAGGATAATTGGGACTGCAGAAAAAACATTTACTACCAACCTGCCTTCCATCAAGGACCTGTATACTGCACAAGTCAAAAAGAGGGCTGTGAAAATATTTACACATCCCGGACATAAACTGTTTCAACTCCTTCCCTCAAAACGATGCTATAGAGCACTGCACATCAGAACAACTAGACACAAGAACAGTTTTTTCCCAAACGCCATCACTCTGCTAAACAAATAATTCCCTCAACACTGTTCAACTATTAACAAAGTATACACTACTATTACTATTAATCTTCTCATCACTCCTTATCACCCATCCCCTCCCACTTGTGACTGTATGGCTGTAACTTTGTTGCTTGTATCCTTACGATTTATATTGACTGCTTCCTAGTATGATTTGATTGCTTATTGTACCCTATAACTATTATTAAGTGTACCTCAGCCATTTTTAACATAAATATTTCTCCTCGTGTAAAAACTTTTGGTTCCTGTCTCAACACCTTTATCCCTTACTTTCTTCTTACAAGCTTACTCATGTATAAATAATTTATCCCATGAAGTGTGAAATCCTGCTCCCTATTTCTGAAGCAAGCAGCAAATATATTTATTGCTCCTGAGATTTATAATAATCTAACAATAATAAACTTTCTCTTCCCAATATTGCTTTGCATATGTACTTTGGTTGTTTCTGAAAAGTAGGATGGATAGTTCCTAGGAGAGATTTATGTTTGAATTCTATATTTGAGAAATGAACCTATTAAGAAGAGGGATAATATATGAATAGAGCCTTGGAAAGTTTGTCAGCTCTTGGAACAATGATTTGTTTAAAACCCTGCTGACACTAAGAGTCGGTACCTAGACACACACACACACACACACACAAAGACTGCAGCAAAGCTCAGTATAGCAGACATGTTCTTATTCATAATTCTGCTTTCTTATTATTTGGAAAAGGCTTTTAAATGTGTTTTCTTTAAGGACTTTTCACTACAAGTAAAATGTTGATAGCTTATTTTTCATCTCTCTAAAGCTGTCCTTGGACCCTCCTCCCTAAATTTTGATACATTACTTGGTATTTAGTGGCACTTGGGTGATACCTTTTTGATGTTCTAAGACTCAGTTAATAGGTGTCTATAAAGGAATTGTACTAATGTTTTGGTTTTGGATGTTTGTTTCTTCATTTTGTTAAGTCAACGATTTGCTCTGTCTTCTGTTTCATAGCATCTTTTATATAATGAAGTACTTGTTCATATGCAATTCTGTACTATTTTACAGAGCAGAATTCAACTTTATGATTACTTAAGTTCTCCTTGGCTCTCCCATAATATTTTAGTGGCAAAACTGCTAACCTATGATGAATGCTGAAACAGAAAAAAATACTGCGTACCTGAAACTTGGTTTAGCAAAAAATATACTTTCTCTCCCCTACAAACCCTAAAGAAATAACTCAGCTTCACCTGTGTGCATAATGTCACCATATCCTCTTGTATATAAAAATGTACAAAGTTGCATAGGGTACTGGGCAAAGGCCATGCCCAATAAATAAAAATTTGAATAGATGAGTGTTTGGACAGATAAGGAATTTAAAATCTTCCACACAATTATATCCTAAAACCTCTAATCTGAGGACTGAATCTTGTTTAAAATATAATACCATGAGAGAGTTCAGCATTGCAAAGTGAAGGTTTGATACTGAATGTTTAGTCCTGAGGTCATAAAATCATAGTCATTAACTTTATAGAATCCCATAGGGATAGATTGAATGAAGGTATTGGTGTATGAAATAGAATCACTCCCAAATATTAATTACCTTGGGCATCATTGGCATGAGAAAACCATTTACCAATGTAATACCCTCTGGATCTTCTGCAGTATTTAGTGCCAAACTGGCTCTCTGATTATGAGAGTTTAAGTATGCGCATATACAATTTCTAACCTTTGTATACTTACAATGGAAATCTCAGTTATTCAATTACATCCAACTTATCTAAGTGGATTAATATCCAATAGTGAGTTTGTGCTAAAAAGAGCCAGTCAAAAAACCTAAAAGCTCTGCAAAACAAATCTTGATTCAGAAGCTTAGAGAAATATATGAGTTTGAAACACTATGGAATGATAACAAGCAATAAAACATTAGCATATTGTTTTTTTAGAGAATTCATCTTCCAGGAAATATGCATTGTTTATAGTGATTCATTAATGTGTCTTGTTCAAGGAACAGTAAATTTGTGAATTGGTCTGTGCAAATGTTATCTTTGAATTACTCTGTTAATCAGAAGTCTAAAAATATCGTAGAAAATGAATGTTGCAATGAAGAATTGTAAATATTGTTGTTTTGTATGCAAAAGCAAAATGAACAAAATGTAAGTGTATTTATGGCTAGACAGAAATGGGATTTATTAAAATCTCTCTCTCCTCGCCCCCTCTCACACACATACCACAATGTGATAGAAAGAGAGGCATTTGAAATTTGAATGGCCAGTGGGTTTTTTTCTTTTGCTGACTGGATATGTAGCTAAGAGAAGATCCATTTTTTCTTGGAGGTATAGAGCTGGCAAAGATTCCTACGCAGTTGCCAGAGGATCTTCTCTTAGCTGTGTAATTCACAAAAAGGTTGGCTTCTCCTCATACTTACTGGAAAACAGTACCAAGTGTGAAGATCAGAATGCTTATGGCCTGCTAATAACTAGTTCATATATTAATGCTAGTAATGCACGAATGCTTAGTTTCTATGGACTAAAAATGTTGTAAGATCTTAAATAATAAGATACAAACATTCTTACAGTTGTTTGCTTGCAGATGTCTCATTACCCAATTAGGTAACATCATCAGTGCTACTGATTGTGGGGTAACTAGACACTGTGAGCATTCTAAATCAAACTAAATCCAAAAAATCTAGGGACTTCCTATAAACTTGGCATTCAGTTGATACAAATCATCTGATCAACAATCAGCTGATACTTGGCTAATAAATCAGCCATCAATAAGTACACAAAGATAAACCATATGTATACCCCATTCAAGAGACAATAGATGTGCTAAGAAGAAAACAAAAAGACATGTCTTAGAAGCAGGAATTAACACCAGACAAAAAACAGGCAGAAATCAATACCCTAGTCAAGGAACTACTAAGGAAAAACCCCACTCAACACTGGCAGGACAAACTACTAAATATCAATCACACTTATTTGCATTGATGATGTCACTTAATTGGGTAATTAAATGTCTGCAAGCAAACAACCAAGTTCAGAGTGTACCAAAGACTCCACAGTGACAATGACAATTGTTTTCAAAACTGTACATCACCGGTCAACCAAGCAGAAATAAAGATTACATCAAGCTCTTGGCCAGGTTGTAAAATATTTCTATCAAGCTTTGTCAGGTAGACAAATCTGAGAGTTTTGTAACTTATTTTTGAACATATTTGTTTTATAATCATAAAGCTTTCATTTCTTCTTCCCCAGCAAAAGCAAAATCTAAATGTGGGTCCACCTTCTTCCCATGTTCCAGTGGGATTCATTGTATCATTGGCCGTTTCCGATGCAATGGTTTTGAGGATTGTCCTGATGGCAGTGATGAAGAAAATTGTAGTAAGTATCTACTACTTAAAGGAGCAAGTTGCATCATCTGTGCCAGAAGGCTATATCTTAAAGAAATATTGCACTTAATTTGATAAATATTGAAAACTCTCCATTGGAAGACTTGATTAATTTCATTTATATTCTATCTTTTGTGATCTCAGTATGGTTGGGGGAAAGGGGGTTCTCCTATTTTTATCCCACAGAAATAATCCTGCTTGGTAAATTGTGCTGGGAACCCAGTGAACTCGAGGAAAAGGTTTGAATCTTATCTCCTTCTCCTTTATCCAAGTCCAGCTTGTCATCTACTATACTAATCTGGGAGGAATCAGCAAAATGAAAGCCTTTGCATCTAAATTCCAATAAAAGTTTGAAATCTCTTTTGTGGAAGCTCTGTATGTAATAAACCTGGTAACCAGAATTAGGGAAACTGACAGAAACATGAAACATCTGTTATTTAATGGGGAACTGATACAGAAAGCAAGGCTTCCAGCTGTTAGCTCTCCAGTTCAGATGAATTCTTAAGCTGAGGTTAGCATGTTATCATGAATTTTTTAGCTATAGCTTTCTCTCGTTTTCCAATAAGGAGGAAGTTACAAAAGAAAAACTTTCATTGCTATGTTCTTTCCTGCAGCTAGTTATAAAAGTTATTTTTTTTTCAGTTGAATAGATCTCATAATGCTGTGACCTAAATAATTGTGCATTGCAACTGCAAGGGGGGAAAAGGCAGAGGGTTTGACTGATTTAGTCACATTTAATATTTTGGAGATACAGTCTTTTGCTAGAGGAGAGCACAGAGTTACTTCTTTAAAAGAACATTTGATAGATGACAGTACTTTTTTTTTGTAAGTTAATAAGAGGAACCAAGACCTGCAGTAATCTTTAGTGGATTTGTGAATCATTTCACAAATCATTGCAACTTCAAGATGGTTGTTCTAAATTCTATATGGTAAGGATGTTCTGGCCATTCTGGTAGTGTTCTGGGGCTCAAAGTGCCCCCATTTTGAATGTACAGTACAATATAATATGTTCATTGTTCTGTCTTGTATCAGCAATATTGCTGCAGTTATAGTAATACTATACTATAGAATATACTTTTGGAGGATCAGAACACATTTTCCCTTCATTTGTATTCATAAAATTTGTATTTTTCCAACGGCTTTTAGCTTCAATTGCTTTGGTTCATCCATATATCTATACTTTTGTTGCAACATTATTATTACTTGTATATCTGGTTTATTTTTATGCTGTCAAGCACTGGCAAATGCCATATGATTGGATTGGTTAATAAATGCAATTAAAAACCAAGATACTGTGGAACCAGCAGTTACAACATTGAAGTGTATCTGCTTACAATCTGTGAGGACAGTGACTATTGAATTAAAATAGTAATGTAAAAGTTATAAAGCTGTCATAAAATTAATAACTAAGAAAAGCCATAGGTTAACTAAAATTAAATATTAGTTAAAATTCAAGAGATGAGTGAAATATAGTGAGATAATCTACTATTTAAGGAAAATTAAAATTAAGCTGAGCAATATAAGGTACAAAACTGACAACTAGAGACAGCAATATAGTAATTGGGCATGTGTCACACCTGCTTAACTGACAATCAGTATCTGGTAAACTTTGTATGCTACTGAATAAAGCTGGATGACTTTATGAGTTGGGTTTGTAAGAGAGACACAGAAAAATGGGATATAAATTTGATCTGATGTAAATTTGACCTGTGTAGTCTGGTAACTTGGTTAATAGTAGAAGAATAACAATACTGTGCATGTTTCTGTAAAATGAACAGGAAAATGAGGATGGCAAGCTATTTCAAGCTTAAAATATTTCCAATAAGATAGAAGCAGATCTTTTGAATGCAGGGCAAATGTCCTGACAGCATAATTGGAATCTGAGTTTAAATCCTCTGGAATTTGAAACACTTTGCTATCCTCAGTATAATTCCTTATATATCTCATTCTACCATTTTATTTTATTTATTTTTTTATTTGTAAATCACCTATCCAGCAGTGGCAATCACTTGGAAGCTTACCTGTAAGCAGTTTCCACAGCCAACATCAGAATCAAGGATGGAATCATAGTCAGGCCATGGTCCATAAAACTCATGGGTAGATCATCAGTTGGCCCAGATTCTAGGTGACAGAGTTTCAGGAACACAAATATCAAGATTTCAATGTGGGTGAACAATTCCCTCCAATGAGGGAAACCAGACTATCACTGGATTTTAAATACATCCCATGTTGGTGAAACTAAGCAAAACTGGGAATACCCTTGACATGCAAGGAGACATGCCAAATACCATTAGTGTTTTCTCATTACATATGGCATGCTTTAAAACTAGGTGTCCTCTGACAATAGGCACAGCTGCTTCTGATAACTTCCAGGTGAATCAACCTCAGGTGCTTGAATTCTCTGAGCTCCTTGAGGCCAATCCTCGAAGTCCTCTAAGTTGGATCTGGTCATGACAGAAGCTCCCAGAAGAGAAAGGAAAAAAATGGGGATGGGGACAGAAACTTGGGGTTTGACAAATCTTCAGGCCTCTTCCTATGAAAAGTCCATTACATTGATGTTTTATTATACTTGCAATACTACAATATAGGTAACAATAAAAATTACTATAACTGGACTACTCAAACAAATTGAGTAGTAAATCAGCTTTTGCCTGATGATGTTTGCCTGAAATGTCGGTTTCCTAAGTACAATGGAAAATTCACTTCTCCTGAAATTTGATCCATTTGACATATGATAAGACAAATAATGACAGGGAGGATAACGACAGAAAACAACTTTCCATCTAATTTTTTTCTATATTAAAAGGTGTGCTATACTTTTCTATGACGCATTATCAGAATAAGACCAAGAGATCCTGCTCTAGAATCAGGCTGCAATCTCTTAACAATCCTAAAACTGCAGAAAATTTGAAGGCTGTTAAAGGAGCCAGGCCATAATGTTTCAATTGTATATGTTGCCAAACAAATTATATAGGTAAGTCACAAAAAGAGTCATTGCAGAACAACATTTAAAATATTGGTTATATTCAATATGGAAGCAATCACATGTAGAATTAGGATCCCCACTACAGATAACTGTATTGTAAGTTTGGAGAATGGCTCTTTATTGGGATCAAGAGTGAGTAGAAGAGAACAGTGGCTATTTACCACTGTTGTACATATCTGGAAAGCCAGTTTGGTGTAGTTTTTAAGACATCAGCCTTAACTGGGACCGAGAGACTTGAAACCAGCTGACTTTGGGCCAATCATGCCTTTTCAACCCTAGGAAAGAGACAGTGGTAAAATACTTCCAAAATCTTGCCAAGAAAATGAGAAACTTATCGAGGCTGTCACTAGGAGTCAAGACTGACTTGAAGGTGTGTGCATACACACATCTTTGTAGCCCCTGAACAGCTGAAATGCTCTTATCATATGTGCCTATATACAAAAGAAAATGCTAGTAGAAATTCAGCCTTTGGACTGTTTTAAAGCAGACTTAAACTATAATATATTATTCTCCACATACAGTTGGATTGGGTACATAATTTCCCATTCTTCAGCAGAAGATTGTTCTATATTTAAAATTCCTTTTATATATGCCTCTTTTAGCTAAGACTTTGGTTTAATAGTTATCAAACATGCCTTGGATTTTTGAAGTATATCACCATACAGTTCTTCCTTGGAGGCATTAGTCTTTCTGAAGTCTTATAACCACAACATTTATTTTTAAATCATTTTTAGAGACAAAAAGTACCTTTCTTTTTACTAAATCACAATCTAATAAAACTTAAGACATTCATTTCTAGAGGTTACAGATTTAGCATCGCACATCATTTACACATTCAACTGACACATTTTTACATCAAGGTTTGTAAAATAATTTCTTAACAGGATTGTCTGAATCATGTGCAAGTAAGAAGGAAGTATGCTGTTAATGTCAAGTAGCACCTGCGCCTTCAGTGTCTTCCTCTTTTTATACTCTTATGCATTTATATACATTTATGCACTTTCACAGTATCCTCTGTTCAGTATTTTCTTAACTTCTGTGTCACTTTCCAGAGTTCAAAACAAGGAATTTGTTGTTAAAGTTTATTATTCTTTCTGACTTAGAGTTCTTGTACAATAGCACAAGAAAATGTAGTTAAAGTTAGGGTTAAGTATAAGGTGGCTTTCTGTCAAATTACTTTTCTGTCTTTTCACAGAAATATTTCATTGGCAAAATCCTTTATAAATTTTCTATCCTTGATTCACTAATACATGAGCCAAATTAAACTATCCCTCCTACAATTTATCTGCTTCTAAACTGAGATACTGGGTGCATTACAGTGTTCAGAGGAAAGAAAAGATTCTCAGCTAAGAACTTAAAGCACAGATGGTATGGAAGTGCTCTTGGGAATATTGTCTATCAAAGGGGTATTTCAAGTTTGAATAAAATGTGCTTTTGTTTCCACAGCAGCAAATCCTTTGCTGTGTTCTACTGACCGATTTCACTGTAGGAATGGCCTGTGCATTGATAAAAGCTTTATGTGCGACAACCAAAATAACTGCCAGGACAACAGCGATGAAGAAAGCTGTGGAAATTTTCATGGTAAGTATGAAATTGAAAACATGATTTTCACACTGAGGTCCCTGTTCTTAATTAACATTGTGCCATTGGTGGGGGTGGGGGTTTGCCTGCATTGGAACTGTGAAGTCTTTTGTATTATACAAGTAGCATTAAGAAGTTTCTGAACAGGGGAGTCTTGCATATCTTTGCATCATTTTTAATTTAATTTCTCAAGTGGGTGTGTCCCACTTTAGAAATTAAATTAAATATAAATATAAACTATATATAAATATATACAGTATATAGGTTATGATTGTTACATTTTGGAGTCAGTGGGTTTTGTGCATCCCTTTTAAAAAAAGTAAAATAATACACTTTTTGAAAATGGTAATAACTGTAGTTGTTAAGGAGTACAAGAGCTGAGGTTAAGATGTGTGGCCTATAAATTTTATAAATAAATAAATAAAACATTTTACTTATCCTAGCAATACTTAAAGGAATAATAGAATATCTTGTTTTGTAGAAATAGTATAGTGTAGTGCTGGATATTTTTCTAGTTTTGTAGCAGTTTCCTAAGTGGTACACATAGGGAGTTTACAAAAAGTTCCAGTTTCAAACAACAATTTCAAGTATGCCAGAGTTGGTCAGCATTCATCGTTACAGAAATTGTTAGCTCAGAAACTTATGTGATTGGAAAATGCCTGGAAAGAACTGGGGATTTCATATATACTGTACAGTTGTATTAACAATAGACCAACCATACTGAGAAAGAAATGAGAAAGTGGGAAATGATGGATTTGGAAGGAGAGGACAAGATTCAGTCTTATTAATTTTTCACACAAGCATACAGAAATGCCCAGATTTATATGGATTCTCCTCTATCATTCTGAAAAATAACTGCTGCCTATCTTTTACTGCAGATAGAAATTTCTGGGCATTTTAGAACATTCTTGTAACAAGAAGATTTTTAATTTAATAAAGATCTAGTTTAAGATCATGAACTTCTTGGCCTAGAATTTTGCTTTTATGTATCACAGGATTAAAAAAAAAGAGTTTAAGTTCTAGCTAGTCTAACTTTTTTCCAGTCGGAATATACAGGTCAAGTGATTTATGTAACATCCATTTTTATAGACAATCAGGATTATATGTTGATAAACAATGGTTGATACAATAAGGGCAATGATAAGAAGGAAACTTATTCCAGAACTTACTAAATAACTAAATAAATACTGTATATTATTCTGACAAGTTATTGAAATCTTAATAGCAATAGAACTTAGACTTATATACCGCTTCACAGTGCTTTATAGCCCTCTCTAAGCAGTTTACAAATTGCCCCCAACAATCTGGGTCTTCATTTTACCAACTTCAGAAGGAAGGAAGGCTGAGTCAACCTTGAGCCAGTTAGGATTGAACTGCTGGCAGTGAGCAGTGTATTAGCCTGCAACATGGCATTCTAACCACTGTGCCACCATGGTTCCTTTATTAAGAATAAAGAATATAAGGATAAAGGATAAATTAAATAATGCCCTCCTCTATCCCAAACCCTTTATAGGTAATGGTGAGGACAAATCAATCTCTACGATGATGTTGTTCCAGAAATGGGATGCTGCGACAAAGAAAGCACATTTCCTAGGTCCTATCAGATAACACTGTTTAATGGATGGGACCTGGAACATGTTGACTATGCCCAATGACAGAATGGAGAGGAACTATAGAATACAGATGTTGGACAGTACAATTGCTTTGCTTACATTTTTAAGTAGTTTTCAATATAGTAATCAGTGCTAAATGTAGAAAAACGATAAATATAGCCTTGCAAAGATAATTGTATGAATATTTTGAACACCCCCCCCCCACTCATCCCAGCATAGATTATGGAGCAAACACAAGAATTTGTTGTAAAAATGAAACATTCAATTAGTGTAGGCATTTAGGTTTCTATTTGTGGTTGTTACCATTGCATTATGAATAAATTGTGATAAGATTTTCTAGGAAGGTAAACCAATCAAGGAGAGAAGCAACCTAGAACTACGGAGACATTTCCTGACAGCTAGAACAATTAATCAATGGAACAGCTTTGCTCCGGAAGTTGTAAATGTTCCAACACTGGAAGTTGTTAAGAAGAGATTGGATAAAGTTTGTCTGAAATGCTATAGGGGGTTGGACTAGAAGACCTCCAAGGTCCCTTCCAACTCTGTTATTCTATACTTGAATTATTAGCAATAAATGGCTTAAAAATCAGTGAGAAATGGTATCAATTGAATCAATTGAAATGGTATAAATTCAAGTAACTGATACCATTTCAATGTCACCTTTCTCATTTTTACTTTTGTGTAATATATTAACAGTGTCCTTTCTAATCTCTTCTATCACCCTGCCTAAAACAAAATATTCTTTTCAGAAGAATATATCACAGCTCAGAACTCTACCAGAAGTAGAAGTTATATTGCCTTTTATTAATAAAGCATATTTTATTACTTTTGGACATACAGTATTTAAATAATACATTCCAAAAAGGCCCTCTACTATATCCTATAGATAATTTTGTTTAGAAAGAGTCCTTATAATTGGTGTCATATTTGGGAGACAAGTTAAACTATTACATGTTTCTATTTTTCACTTTCTTTTTTTCAAATCCAGTTTTATCTTTATAATATTTTCGCATTCCACATCTCTCTTGGGATTCTCTTTGACTTCCCAAGAATCCCACACTATACTTTCAAACTATTTCCTTAATCTTATCATGAATTCTATAGCTACATCCTGATTTCTTGGGTATTTGCCAAATATAGATTATTTTAAAATCTGCTTTCAAATAAACACTATATAACAAGATGCTATTTTAACTTTTTATGGTGGCATTCTATATGTATGTTTCTTTAAAACTTCATTCTTTTGGCTACTGTAAACTCATTTTGATTTTATTGTTGGCTTGTATGTTCCTTTACTGACTGATGCTTGCAGTCTGCTGAAGCATGGTCATATCTCAATAAAGCTGTTATTGGTTTAAGGGTAGCATTGTTGATCTTCAAGCCTCATTAATTGTTGGTTTACATGTTCTGTTACTATGCATTTTCCTCTTGATTAGCTTATTATTCTTCTACTCAATTTTTTCTCAGATTTGGTTGTGCTATTAACCCCATTCTACTGAGACTGCTACTCTAATCTTCATTGTCAATCTTCTGTTTATAACAAAGTTTCAATTCCGTAAGGTAGAAGAGGTAAATGATCCATTAAATTATGTATAGTATGATGGCATTTGAACGAGTAGTAGTTTGGGCTCCTGCTAATAGAAAAAAATCAGATAAAGCAAATTATATGCATGTTATTTGCTTAGGTAAGTCGTTCTGCTTTAATTTTCAGTCCGATTTTACAAATGCACTGGAAGTTTCATATCTCTGACATCATCATTGTGCTTTGCATCTTAAATATTTTTCCCTCCTATCATTTATGGTTCATGTGACCATGCTATGTACTTAATGCTTGATCATAACAGATGAAATAAAAAATTGTATTGGTCATTTAAAGCCTTTTTTTATCCTAAACCTTGGCCATCAAATACTATTCCTTTCCCCCTTCTCTTGCTACTGCCCATCTTATTCTTTATCAAAATATAAAAACATAATGGATAAAGGTCCTCTAATGAATTAATAATCACTAAGCATTTGGAAGGAAAAAAATAGAAAAAATCAGCAATCAGAGGGTAAGACCGACTTATAGTCTATTTTCATCCTCAGTGAGGAATACCAATCAGAATATTTTCTTTGGAATACCTTTTCTACTTAGTCAAATGTAAAGATAGTCCAAACTTAATGACTGGTTGAAGTTATGGTGGACTCTCCAAAAAGTTAATTATGACCCTATTCCTGTGTTCTGATGGTGGCTTGGCAATCAATTCACCTTTATGGCTAGTTGCAGTGTTTCCCAGTCACATGACTGCAATTTACAATGTTTTTTGTTGGTTTCTGGCAAAAAAAACACCCATAGGAGAAAATGGGTTTGCTTAATGACCATTATATTCACTTAACAAGCACCATATTTGCTTTATGACTGCTGCAAAAAAGTCATAAAATCGGGTCCGTCATGATTTACAATGGAAATTCTGGACTCAGTTATGGTTGTAAGTTGAGGCTACCATAGCTTACATAGAGATTTTCTTTCATATTGTCACTTATCTAAATTATTGAAGTACACAGATCTAAGTTATATGCAAAAGTCACTCAAAGCAGGATAGTTCAAATATTTTATTCTTCTTGAACATTAAGAGAGAGGCATAGTGGCCCAGTGGCTTAATACTGGTAGATGTCAGAGAAGGTCTATGTTCCAGCAGTTTGAGTCCTACCACCACATGACAGAGTGAGCTCCTGTCACTTGCCTCAGTTCATGCCAAGCTAATATTTTGACAGCATATAAAAATGCAAGTAGATAAATAGGTATCACTTCGGCGGGAGTTTCCATGTTTCGCCATACTCTCTGTGCTACAATGTGTTGTCATGCTGGCCACATGAGCGTAGAATCATTTTCAGGCAGCGCTGGCTTAATGGATTACAGAAACAGAAATGAGCACCACTCCCTAAAGTCGGCTATGACTTGTGAAATAAAACCTGCAGAGACACCTTTTTACACATTAAAAAAACAGAATTTTAGGTCTTTGATATGCTATATTTTAAATTAGGATTCATTTTAGATCTGATCCCAAAACTAAATTCAGAACAGACCTATGCACATTCAATGTGACACAGTGACTTTTGAAGTTATAATACTTCCTGAATTTGAATTCAGAATAAGACTGTGATACTCTATTAACAGATGGCAATAACAGGAATCTTTTGTCCTTGGCATTGCATTCTAATAATAACAGAAGAGCAACCACTTGTACTGGTTTGTCATATCGTTCCCATAAATATTTCACCCTCATGAATAATAAACTAAAACAGTGTGAATCTGATGTGAAAATTTGAAAGACTTGGTTGAGACTGTCATTTGAGAAAAAATTAAAATAGTAACGCTCCTTTTTTACTTCAAATAATACCAGAATC